CTTTTGTGATTTTACTTACAACTCTCTATTAAATTAGATTAAATTTTGTAATATTTTATCATGAGATATTTTAAAACAAGACTACCTTGCAAGGTAAAAGTAAAAATTGAAAATTAATTACAATTAATTGACAATTATTCACAATTTAATTTTCTGTAATTGTTTTTTATCACATTTGTAGCGGACTTTAATTGTAGCATAATTTAATTGCAATCAATTATTCGGTAGGCCTGGTTTATTGCTCTACTTGTAAATTTTTAATTGATTATGATGATATTTTAATACTAATACCTAAATAAATTCTTGTAGTAAATAACACAACGCACGATTCAGATTATTTGATACAACCTGGTTTCACTCTAAACAAGTATAAACCTAAAGATGCTAATATTACATTGCATGCAGTCTTAATATTCTGATGAAGGTTAAATAATTTATTTATTGGAAATTAAAGATTGCAATATTTCATTAAAAAATAAGATTTTATTTTCAAATATACGGTGTAATGAAATATATATATATAGCATGTTAAAAATCATGATTGAATTCAGAGTTAGTCTAAAAAAGATTTTTCATTCGTAATTCATCTGTTAATTTTCAATTCGAACTAGAAAAAAGAGATTTTTAATGACTAAGATATGTTTATAATGATAATGGTATATTTTATAAGAGTTGCTTTAAAATTGTTATAAAGTGACATCACAAATGAGAACAGAAAAATAATACTACATAAAACCATTTAAGTCATTCGAAAATATGAAGGTATAATGACACATTTATCAAATAAATAATTACGTTTTTAATTTAAACGATTATAAAAGTTAAATTACCTACTTTTCAAATTATCAAAAAAATTTTTTTACTGTTATATTCGCTTACAATGGAAGTATTAAACAAACCTAGAAACGTTTCCCATACATTGTATAAGTTACATGATTGGATAGAAAAGGGTATGATAAATCTTAATCCTGAATTTCAACGAGGTATCTTTTTTTTTTTTTTTTTATTGTTTCCTTCTTGGAATATCAAAAAAAAAGCAAATGATAGTAAAAGATTAACGATACTTTTTATTTTATCGATCAAGACGTCGTATGGAAAGGTAGAATTTTATTTCGATGATAATGACTTTAATGCATCATTATGATGATAACTAATAATTAAACAATTGTTAGAAATCAAACAATCACACTTGATCGACTCCATCCTCAAGAATTTTTACATTCCTCCAGTTATTTTTTCATGCAAGAAAGTAGATGAAAATCGTTGGATGCGAGTATGTATAGATGGGAAGCAAAGATTGACATCGATTAACAGGTTATATACTACTCAACTGCTATTGATATAGATTTTTTTTTTGGGGGGGACACAATATTTATTTCTAATGATATTATTTACACGGTAGATTCATGAGGAATGAAATACCTCATTTAGCACCATCTGAAAAAGCAGTTTCAAAACGTTACTTTAAGGGTCATGACAGTGAAAAATCAATATCTGACAATGAGAGGGAGTTGTTTGAATGTTCAGAAGTTGTGTGTAGTAAGTATATCATATATTTAATAATACTGTATATATATATATATATATATTTATTTATTTACATTTAAATATAAACTTTAAATGAATGAATTTTTTCCATTAAAACTATAGTTGAATACTATGATCTCACACAAATGCAAGAACGAGAAATCTTTAGTCGCGTTCAACTTGGAATTCCATTGACTCCAGCTGGTAAGGAATATATATTCAACAAACTTATAATATCGATATGAATAGGGATTCAAATTTAATTTATTATTTTAGAAAAACTTTGGGCAATCGGTAGTACGATGTCAGATTTTTTGCATAAAACTTATGAAACTTATCAAGTTATTGCTCAAATAATGGATACAAAACGTGGAAAATTATTTCATATTATGGCACAATTATTTTTCATTATTGAGAATGAACCGGAACGATTCAATGCAAGACCTAAAGTTATTGAAGAATATTTGAGAAATACTCTAGAAATTTCTAATAATCTTCGAGAAACAATTAAACGAGTTTTTGACACAATAACATTGCTGATAGAAGCCGATTCAGGCATATTTCAACAAAATCACCGATTATCACCTATTGAATTCGTATTCATTTCATGGATTATCGCCAAAAATCCAAATCATTCATTAGAGAAATATCAAGAATGTTTACTTAATATGAAGAAATATGTAAGAGAGAAGCATGAGGATACACGGTTCAACGGAAAGGTTTATTCAACACTGAAACATTTCATGGATAATCTCGACTTTGAAGAATTTAATGGATCGTCTTTAAAAGACAATGAGCCGGCCAATAAACGGATTAGATCTATGTGATAACAATTTTTTTGCTTTTTCTGTAAAAAATTTTGGATTTGGTTGCGACATTCATATACTGTATTTCTTATATTGCTTTAATGCATATAGTTGCATGTTTTTAGTATCTACAAAATGTAAAAATAAAGACTGATAAGATTGTTTTTCCTGTTTGGTCAAATGGTTAGATCCATATATAGGAGGGGTTGAGGTAATTTCATATTGCGAATTTCTAACAGAAAAAAAGATCAAAAAAAGTACAAATATGAATAATACGAGAAAAACGAATGTTTAAACTACTTTGGAATACTAATAAAAAATGTCGAGAAGGCAATTCTACATATAATACCATATTTACCCTAACCTTAATTTTAATTAAATAAGTGAGTTTACCCCGCTTTTTAGTGATTGATATATCTACTGTATATGGGGCGTCGTACTATCAAAAGTGATACGTATACAAAATTAAGTTATCGATGTTTTATAAATATATTAACAGTAAGCTTTTATTTTGTATCGGGTTTAACGTTAAAACATAGATAACTTAATTTTTGTATACGTATCACTTCCAATATTAATTTGTAATACGGTATACTTAACTAAAGTAGTCATTATTAAATGGAACACATAGTCAAACGTCCAAGTGTCCAAAGTGTCCAAGCTGTCCATATCCTTAAATATTCAGTTTGAAATAAAAATTATATGATTATATTCTCCGTTTAATTCTAAACATTTTTGTTTAAAGATTTAGATAGGTTATCTTAATGAAATTTTGAGTAAATATAATTTATTTTTTGTTCAACGACAACATTGGTTAGGGGTGTTAAAACTCGAGTCGACTTGAAGCAGCTACTTAAGTCGACTTTAAATGACTCAAAGAGTCATATGATGAACGCAATTATTATGTAATTGTTGAAGGTCGACTTACGACTCGAAGTCGACTCAAAATTGAAATTTTGATTGGCGTGGGTTTACATTTGCCATAACTAGCACATTTAGTACTATCGCTATGCTGAGACCATAGTTGGTTCATAACAGGTATTAAGTAAAGCGGCAGACGTACGAAAATTTTGATTGCACAGCCGTTTATTAAATCTACTGGTAAATTTTTCGTATTAGTATACGAGTATTAAATTTTTTTTTGTTAAAATATCGATATACTAATTATTCATTAAGCGGAATATATATATTATTAATCGAATTTTTTATACTCCGATAGTAAAGTGGTGAGGAAATTAGGGCACCCGGTATAAAGCATAGAATATTTAACTATTATAATTATGATATAATTGAAATATATCTGTATTTACAAAGTATATTATGAAGTATAAAAAAAAAAACAACTATTCGAAAAAAATTATACGAATAAAAAACCAATCATCTTTACTAAGATAAACCCAAACCTTTTTTTAGTTGCTGATTTTTCAATTCAATACGTAGCTTCAATCTTTGGTTGAGTTTTATTTGATGTTCTAAAAACCATCATTTCTCTCTTCAAGTTTAATGTTTAATATACTAGCAGGTTCATTTTCTTTATTAATTGTATTTGTTGGTGTAACTTCTAAATTTCTATTTTTATCTTGTAAATTGGTATCATTTCTATTTAAGCCATTACTTCAATTGCAATTCAGGAATTACTTTATGTAACAATCAAGATATCTGAATAAAGATCCAATTTATAAGGTATTTAAATAAAGGCCCAACTCCGCCAATCCGCCGTAAGTTGTAACAACTTTAGTTAAAACGGAGCCGAGTTTATATAGAGATCGACCAAATAAATTACAAGAGACAGCAGTCTAAACCACTGTGGATTAATAAAAATGTTGGGATGGTAATTTTGCCTTAATGTTCTACCTTTCACTAACCTATGAATAACTTGAATTGGCAATTTTCTTGTCAAACGGTTAGTAATGACCAATAACAAATAATTACTTTGCTATCATTGGATATATTAAGTGGTCTTCTTTTTATTATATACCCGAGTCCCTTACATTGCATCATATATAACGCGTATAATACATCATATTCGATATTGTGTTTTGTAGTTACTGTATTTGTAGTACAAGAGCAAAAATACAAAAAGGTTAACGTTAACACCTGGTTAATTTGTAATTCTCGGGAGAAATACATTTTAGGGGAGTTTACTGCTGAGGAGGTGTATTCTTATGACCATTTACGGTTCAATAAAAATCGTAAAAGAGACAGTAACCGAACTTTACCAATGTAATTATAGTTAAGTCGATTAAGTCGACTAAGCAAATTAGGGATCTACTAGTCCCTAATCGGCTTAAAACAACACTGAACAAAATTCCTATTGTTATACCCCAAACTAAGAACCCTAAAAAAAGCAACACTCACATATTCCCAGCCCAAATTGGAATTTGTCCAGCCTAAATTATACAGCAAAAATTATTTTAAACCTTGGCCCTTTCTAAAATTGAATATGCCAATTTTGGGTATTGCCCATTAAAGCAATAGTTGAATATAGATAGTTAGCTAATAGTTATAAATAGTTAGCTGATAGTTATAAATAAACGCATGTCGTATTATTACGTTTTATCACAACATGGTATTATCCTAGTAAAGTATAATTTTATCACATTAAAGCCTTCTTTTGTGATTATACATTATCGTTACTGCTAGGTTAAATATATTAATCTATATAAATATTTCGAAGTAATTAGTAATAGTTCTTTATATATTCTGCACATACAAATATAAAATAGTCTTTAAATGTCCAGTAATCAGTGTTGTTATTTGGATATATAAACTGTCGAATTTGGACTAATTGGACTTAAGGCTAAGGCTAAATGGACTTAAGGCTAAAAAAAAAAAGTATTAGACTTAAGGCTAGTAACAACACTGCTAGTAATAGCTTCTTCAGCTTACTATATGAATACAAAAACGAGAATTCAATTTTTAAATAATTAGGAATAGGCACTTTCAAATTACTATGCTTATTTTGCTTTATTTAGAAAATATATTAATCAAAATAAGTTATCTGGTTCGTGAATATTTAATCTTATCGATTTAATAAATAATAAAAAATATTTTTTTATTCGATATCTTACTATGATCAGTATATATGATAAAATTATTGATAGTAAATCATTGAATAAAACCGTTATTGTATGTTCCTGTATGCAATAACTATATTATATTTTACATTGCTCATTTCACATTATTCACGTTGGTCTAATCGTTAAATATTTATAACATTGTATTTGAAACAAGTCATTCAAGTTCTTGAAGATTTACATCTTTCATTTCATTTTATCTGTACTATTTAGTGGTTGCTGCTATTCACAGCTTCGAAGTCATTATGTTAGATATGATAAAAACTTATGATATTAATTGGTATTAAAGAATTATTTTAACCAAATATAGGCTGCTGTCAATAGAAATCAGGAAGATTGACATTTAAAAAAACAAATACCTTAACTTTCGCTACTCATATCTCAATGAATTTCAATGCTATTCTCATGATTGAATAGTCCAAAGAAAGCTTAGATATTAGGCTTTTATTTGAATATTAATTTATAAGATTATCTTCAAAATTCCGTGAGATATTAATAGTGAAGGTTAAGGCATTAACTTTTTTAAATATTAATCTGCTTGATTTCTATTGACAGCAGCTTATATATTCAATAACGACTAATTAGAAGCCCTTTCAGCATGTGAATCCTTCAAATAAAAAAGTTTAATCATGAAATTAAGAAGCAAGCAGTTATAGGACGTGAATAATTAGTATTAGACTTTAATAACTATTTTACATGAGGTTGCAAATTTAGAATAGATAGCTTGGGTTGTTCATAATATAACCTTCATGTTCTTATTTAAATAAAACCTAAACTTTAAATACTTAGGTTCAATCACCTAAATAGATATGTAGTAGAAATAAGTATATGAAAAAAGTTACGCAAATGTAGTTGGTCAAGGAATAATAATTATAATAAAGATTAAGTATATTCTCAAATATCTTCCTCAATATAATTGGCTATTGATCAAGATCATGTACAAGTACTATGATTAGGTATAAAAATTATTTCAATTAATTATAGTGCTTGCGCACAATCTTGATCACTAGCTAATCACATTAAGGGTATGCTTGCGAACGCTCTTATCAAGGTTTGCAAAATTCTGGAGCATAGTAATCATTCAAAATGATAACTATCACTCACATGTTCTATTGCATCAAACAATCTTTTGAGTTCTGGTCGATTATTTAGCAGGACTCATTCTCAAAAGTCATTTGATGATCTGGAATAGAAGTAAAATACACGTCATAATCACAATTGATAGTGTGTGTGATCATCACTTGAATGATCACTAGGCTAGAATTTTGCAAACCGTGAAAAAAAATATAAAAAGTATGACTTATCCTTTTCTAGAAATTTTTTAAATCAACAATGAATACTGTACTAATCTATTTTCATACATATACCATAAATTTTTTAACTATCTTAAAAGTGAAATTAACTTGATATTCAAGAGAATGAAATCAAGTAATTTACCATAATTGTTTGGTTATACGTACATTAGTTAGATCTGTAGACCTTATGTATGCAAAAGTAGAGCCTATTGTAATTGAAGTTTTGGTAAATTATGTTAGATCAATAATGATGCATCAAAATACGTATCATTAATTTGTAGTTTGATAAAGTAAAACTATGTATGAATAGAATAATAGGTAGAGTGGGGCTTAATAAGTCAATGTATTCTCTTCCGATTAACAATAATAATCATAATAAAGAAATTACTGATCGTGTTGTTAAGTAATCATGCGCTGTGATCTTAGTAGTCATATCAACATAAAAATAAGTGATGGTAAAGTCAGACAAAAAAAGTCTAGGCACAAGTGAAAACATTCTTATTTGTGAACTATATGAATTTATTAAGCGATTTTAATATAAATATATCACTTTATAATCAAAACTCAACTTAGAAGCAATTAAAAAAAAATGGATATCTTAAAACGAGCACAAACTGTACCCACCTTTTCAGTTTATCCAGATAAAACTTTTAAAAAGTTTACTCACCATAATTTTTTTAAAGAACCTATGACAATTTCTGATGCAATTAATTTGCAAGATATTACTTTGCCTAATGGAGAAGATAAAAATCAGGCTATTAACTCAGTTATTACACCATCCTTACCTCTTGAACTAACACCATCCTTATCTCTTGAATCAATTCCTTCTTTACCTCTTGAATCAACACCGTCCTTACCTTTTGAATCAACACCATCTTTACTTCTTGAATCAGATACTTTAGTTCTGTCTTCTTCATCCTCTAAACCAAAAAATAAAAATAAAAAACAAAAAGATATTTCAGTAGATAACAATGATAAAGAATCTTGGCTTTGGCCAAATACAGTTATTAAATCATTACTTTCTTATTTATCTGATAATATGTCATTTTATCGGATGAATAAGGAAAAGTTTTATGTTAAAGCTGCTTTATATCTTGGTAATGGTAAGACGGGAGATCAGATTCGTAGTAAGATCAGATCACTTATTAACACGTATATGGAAGAAAGCTCGAACAAAACTGGCAAAGGTGCATCTGATTGGCCTTTTTATACTGAAATGAATAATATATTTGGAAATCGTGAAAATGTAAATCCAGACTATTTGGTTAATAGCACAGGTCAGGTAATTATTACTGTAACTTTATAACTTTAGATTTAAATATATAATAATAATAACAAATAATAATTTAATCGTATTTGTAATTTATGTATAGATTTATCGCAACAACTTGCCAAAAGATAATAGTAACAATAAGGATTGCTCTCTAAAATCTAATAAGAAACGACGATTGGATGAAGATGAACTACACTACATTAAGTCCATTGATATTATTACACAAAGTAAACAAATTGAGGCTGAAACTAAGAAAAAACTTCTAGAGTTAGAAAAAGAAAAACTTCAATTTGAACGAGAAAAGTGGGAACATGAGAAAAATGAGAAAATTATTTTAGAAAAATACAAATTAGAGCTTGAATATAAATTACAACTAGAATTAAAAACCAGAGAGCTTGAAATTAAATTTAAAAATAAGGAAACAACAGAAAATGAGTTGTAAAATATTATTATATATTCTTTTAAGTTTTTTTGCTTTTTTTTTGACGCTTGTATTTTGATATTATATTTGTATTAAAAATTTTTTATTATAAAATAAAATTCTGGTCAGTTTAAAATTTATGCCAGAGTATAAAATAAAATCGTTGAATAATTATTTAATTATCAATCGAAAATTTCAGGCATTAAATACTAATTTGCTTGCTTATATAGGTCAGAAACCTTAGTTTTATGCAAAGCGATGTACCAATTTTCATGTTACTAATATAAAGTATAATATGCTCTGAAGTTGTATATTATCAGAGAACCTTGCGAATGACCAATTATTGATTACAATTATAGGTAATTTCTGGAGCAGAGAGGAGGAACTTAAGTCCAGACAATAGGCAAGAAAAAAAATTCTAGGTGAGTTCCGGGAATAGGATAAGGTGAACATAAGCAAAAAATTTCCAAATAACCACTATCATCCGATCGATCACAACACAACTATATCTGATATCAGTATACTGTAACGTTCTTTAAATATAACTTTGTTCGCTAACATGCAGCATTATACAATATAAATTAAAACTTAATGAATTTTAAATAGATGTGCAGCCCTAACGGCTTAATAGCTTAGAATAAAATTTTACAGAACTAATATCATTAGTTCTACAAATAAAGTTACGAATCTATTATAATTTTTCACATTTAAATTAAAAAAATAACTTTGTAACTTTGTATAGCAATAATATTTCGACTTATTTATTTAGATTCAAACCAAGCTTTTTTGAGCACGCGAGGTTTTGAAACTTGCTTCCGTCTTAGCTGTACAACTATTTTCACTAAGAATTCGAAGTTACATAAAAATATCTATTATAAGATACCACATATAATTTTACATAACTGATAATATACTGTACTCTAATGAAACAGATCGTAGAATTATTAATATAGTGCCTTTTTTCCCAAGTTGTAAAAGCAGAAACCATACCAATAAATTTAATATACTAGGAAAATGGGATCCGTTGGATTCTGGAGCGCCGCTTCACTTCGAACTATGTTATCATATGAATAATATATTAAATTTATTGGTATCGTTCTGCTTTTACAACTTGGGAAAAAAGGCACTATATTAATAATCCTGCTGGTACGTACATTGTAAATTATCTGTTTCTAATCATTGAGTATGATACTGAAGAAACAATGCTACCAAAGATCATTGGGGTACGGTATATTATGTAAAATTATAATATAATAGA